GCCGGTCCAGCTCCAGGCTCCCACAGCCTGTGGGCGCACCTGCGCGGGGAGCAGGTCGGATCAGAGCACACACCGCCTCCCGCCAGCTGCGTGAAGGTCTAAAGCAAGAAAGCCAACTTAAATATTGACTTAGCGTGGCCAACCAGCGTGGCATTTAATTGTCATGTGAGAAAAAGGTCCATGTACTCAAATTGCAAATATATATTATGTTCCCAATCTATGTCAACACCGAAAAAACAACCATGTCCTAATGAGGCTCCTACACTGTCGAGTTTTGGGTCCAAAAGCAAAGCGCACTCTGGATGTCACCTGACTCACCCGAGGTCAGAGACCACGAGAACAGGCTCACAGCCCCGTTTCACAAAGCAGTTCGCTTCCCCTGCACCGACACACTGAGTCTTCTCCTTGGACAAACGGTAGAGAAGGAGGTAATTTTCTGATTCCCAAACCTCGACAATGCACCCAAAGCAATAAGTAAAGTGCATCCCTAATATGTAAGTGCATTTACATATAAACTATGTACATATATTTCTATAAAATAATTTTAAAAAGAAAGCTAAAAAATAAGGATCTACAGAAATCCTAGTACATCCACCCTGCACTCTAATGGATGGTCTAACCCCACCCACCGGGGGGACCCCCTGCCCACTGTGGGAACGGCCCCCCATCTCCTGAGCAGAACCTGCAACCTCTCTGATCACTTGTCTCTGGCAGCTCCCAACCATGGGCACAATAAACAGAACTGTGTGAACTGGGCCGGGAGCAGCGCCTGCTAAGGCCTGCAAACAGGCTTTCCATCCGGGAGGGAGACAAAGCTATTCAGCATCGCCCCATGATAGAGGGAAGAGTGCAGGACACTGTCTGTGACTGTCACCTGCCCAAGTGGCCTGGGGCTGCTCTGGAGGAAGGAGAACCGTGGCCGTGGGGCCACAGCAGCCTCATCTGAGGTGTGTCCTGGGGACCCCAGAGCAGCAGAGCACTGTCTGACTGCCTGAACGCTAAAGGGGCCCTGGCCTCGGTGGCATGCGTCTCTGACTCGTGTCAGCAGAGAACACACTGGCACTGTCCTCACAGTCTGGCCTGTTTCTGGGCGGCTCAGCCACACCCTCTGGATCTTGGTGCCACCCTCAGTGAGGTGGTTGATTGGACTGCTCGACAGGCAAGGTCCCTGCCAGCTCCTCACCAGGCCATCTGGGAAGCCGAGTGAGGCACAATGTGGGTAATTGTCCTACAGGAAGAACGAACAGCTGTGGAGGCCCGGAAACACGGTGTGATTCTAAGTAGGAATACCAGGTCAACGAAGACTAGAGTACAGATATGTAAGATTATCGAGAACTTGACACTGATCTCCGCGCCCCCCTCCACCCCCCTACACACACATCCTGCAAAGCCCACACCACCTGCAGCTCCAGCAGAACTGAAAGAGACGCCTGCAGTGCCGCCATGGAAGCACAGGCTCTGCTCTGGAGACCTAAGCTTTGCCCGGCATCGCCATTTACAAACAGGAACATTTAAATGTACGTTTTTGCCAGCGACCCTTCCATGGGACATCGACCACCAGAATGTTTCCAGGTCTCAAGCAACCAGCAGCCGGTACTGAGCACTCACCGACATTAAGGCCCTATGTGACATGCTGCTGAAGACCGAGGCCCGGTCACCCCCTAGGGCAGTGATGGCGAACCTATGACACGCGTGTCAGAGGTGACACGCGAACTCATTTTTTTGGTTGATTTTTCTTTGTTAAATGGCATTTAAATATATAAAATAAATACCAAAAATATGTCTTTGTTTTACTATGGTTGCAAAGATCAAAATATCTATATGTGACACGGGACCAGAGTTAAGTTAGGGTTTTTCAAAATGCTGACAAGCCAAGCTCAAAAGGTTTGCCATCACTGCCCTAGGACCTAGACCCGTGGTCAGCAAACTGCAGCTCGCGAGCCACATGCGGCTCTTTGGCAAGGTCCCTGCCAGCTCCTCACCAGAGCCATTGAGGGTGGCTCTTCCTAAGCCTTAGGAGTATCCTAATTAAGTTAATAACAATGTACCTACCTATATAGTTTAAGTTTAAAAAATGTGGCTCTCAAAAGAAACTTTAGCTGTTGTACTGTTGATATTTGGCTCTGTTGACTAGTGAGTTTGCCGACCACTGACTAGACCATGAGGAGGAGTAGCCGGAGGGTGGCTGGGCATTTAACTGGGGAAAGCAAGATATACATACACCCCTGAAAAGTCAAATGCAGGACAGAGGGAGGGGGGCTACTCAAACACTGAATAACAGCACAGCCGGGCCTCCACCAACGGGGAGAACGTCCAGTGCCCAGATCAGGGTGGAGACCCTCTCAGGCCGGGCACAAACCACCCCCTGCCTCAACGCCTCTCCCCCGTTTCTGAATTAGGGCTGCGGCCATTTTCTAACCAGTCTGGGAGTATTTCAACACGGTCACCACTGTGCTTGCTGGGGCACCCCGGCTGAATGTCAGCCTAGGGGTCCAGGGCGTGACCTGGAGTCTGAGGACAGTGAGTGGCTCCAGGCAAGTGCCTCTGAGGAGCAGGGCCATGAGGAACGAGGGGAGGGTGAGGAAGGTCCCTGCTGACAGGTCCAGGTGGGCATGCAGGGCCCGGGAGGCCCTTCCAGGACACAGGAAGGCTGGGGGAGGGGAACAGTCCCCCCAGGGGTGCAGTGGCCTTGGCTGACCATGTGCTGGAGACTCCTTGCTCCAAAGGCCCCAGGATGTGGTGGTTTGGGAAGCAAGGGAAACAGCAGGTTGGAACTAGACTCTGGAAGCCCTGACCGCCAAGCTCATTGAGAATGTGGGCCTCACAGGAGCCCTGGACGGCGCTGGGCAGAGGGGGAAAAGGCAGTTCCCTCCCCCGTTCTTAAACGGAGGGCCTTTGCTAGAGGTGACAGACTCTGGACGAGGATGGTGACACTGAGAACGAAAGGGAGAAGTGGGTGTGTATCAGGCAGCTTGGTACAGAGCGCGAGTTAGCGTCAGCAGAACCTGCTGACTGCCTGGATGTCGGGGCACAAAGAAAGATAACGCCAAGGCCCAGTCAGACCCCAGACCGACACCAGCTCGGGAACACACTCCACTGTGTCATGCCCGAGGGGACACGGCTGTGTCAGATGGGCTGAGGCACCCGGCCCCGTGCCAGTGGCGGCGTCAGTCGAGGGAGTCGCGCTGTCCTGAGAGCCTGGTGTCTGTGTGGTCTGGGACTCCCAGCCCCTGGCCCCCTCCAACCATCGCAGCCCAGCCTTTACTTATTTTATACATTGAGGTTACGCTTAAAATTGTACTGGGGAAAAGCGGCCACCCCACCGTGCCTGGAAATTCCCAATTCTAGTCTCTCGTCTATTAAACGCTTTCAGCATGATTTAGAACTTGCCGAGAAGGTCTGGTTCTGGTAAAAAAAAAAAAATTAATTAATTAATAAAATAAAATACCCCAAGGGATGCAGCAGAAAGCAATCCCATGTGCCACAGTGCGGCCAATCTCCTACGTAAGTGAGCGACGCTCCTCCGTCCCTGCTCAGCCGGGGTCCCTGTTCCCACCCCTCACGCTCTCCTTCCGCGCACACACGATGCATTAATCACCACTCTCCACTGTCCAATCTTAAAGGGCCAACTTCCAGGGCAGGCCGAGCCCTTTACTCTTTAATCCCCCAGGAAGTAAACAGTGTGTAGCAGATCTTAGCACTCACAGAACCAAGCTGACTCAACCTCTGTTGTGGTTTACACCCGGCTGGTGGTCCAAGACCCAGTGCCAATGAGACAGGAAAAATCAAGGGGCAATGGCACCAAGGAGACAGCAGCCCGTCCTCAGCCCTGCCCCCTGCTGGCTCACCTGGAAGAGCCAAGCAATCAGGAGCTCTGGCCCTGAGGCCGGACAGCCGAGGTCAACCCGGGTTGGGGGGCTTCACCTCTGCAGCTGCTCTTTTACCTTCTGTGGACGATGGGTAACAGCAGGACCCACCAGCAGGGCTGGGTCCCTGAGTGAGCACCTCTGAGGCCTTGCGAACAGTGCCTGGTACTGTCTGTGTTATCATCACCGACCCTGTCCCGGGCTGCCCCTGCTCGGCCTGTGGCCACCATGGCGGTCAGCTGAGGGAGAAACCAGTTCCTGCAGCAACTTTCCCTTTCTGGTTAATAAAATAAAGAACGGACTCAGGGCATATCAGCCTTATGTCTTAGGGACAGGGCTCCCTCAACAAACCCGAGGGCAAAGAGCCAGAACTGTGCAAGTGGGCAGATAATACGTGTGTCAGAAATCCCTCCCGGGATGAGGGCATGGTGCAAAAGGCAATTCCCATGATGCCCTCACTTCTTTCCACTTATCTTTCCAAACCATGAAATCTTTATTTTAACAGCTTTTGACTTAGAACACACGGACCCCAAAGTATATTAAAACCATTCATGAATAAAATAATTTTCAAAACACTGTCAATTTCAACAGCTTTAAAGCAAAATGTGCCCTAATTTCTAAAAAATATATTAAAACATGAAAAAACATATTCACAATATACTTTAGGCCAGTGGTTCTCAACCTTCTGGCCCTTTAAATACAGTTCCTCATGTTGCGACCCAACCATAAAATTATTTTCATTGCTACTTCATAACTGTAACGTTGCTACTGTTATGAATCGTAATGTAAATATCTGATATGCAGATGGTCTTAGGCGACCCCTGTGAAAGGGTCGTTCGACCGCAAAAGGGGTCGCGACCCACAGGTTGAGAACCGCTGCTTTAGGCCATTAAAATTAAATTATCAAAAATTTTACCTTCAACATAAAATATGTCTAAAATTTTAAAAATATATTTAGAGAAACAAAAAGGAAATACACAGAAATGTGAATAGCATTGAATCTCTTTAAGACCTTAATTTCATAGTTCCCCAATTTTCTAGAATAAGCATAGATTCCTATGGTAATATGAGTATGTAATATAAAGTTGTATGTTATATATAGCTTTTCTGAGGCAAATGGTTTTGATTTAGATATTGGAGAGCTTTTGCATTTTTATTTAAAACGTGAAGACCAGCAACTAATTCATGAACAGCATTAGCCCGGATATCTAGACTGAGCCATGGGTTTTGAAATCTTAGATTCTGGAGATAAGACGTGTGCCTCCTGCCCAATGTCTTCTGGGGAGGCAGGCAGCACAGGGGAGTGGAGTCCTCACTCCACCGAAGTCTCTGTCCCAGGAACATGTCACCCATCCCTCCTGCCAGCACGCCACAGGGAACGCGCCATCACATTTCTCCCCTCCACACTCCACAAAGGCCACACCACACGGAGTCCTGTGCCGTCTCCAACACACTCAAGAACTTCTAAATGCCAGGATGCAGAGAAGCAGAGAAATGACCGCAACTAAGATTTTGTGATAGTTTTCTCTTGCCACGATGGTATGAGCAGTTGTTGCAAAGTAGGTGTCACCTTGGCCTTACACAACCCAGACTTTATGAGTTGGCATTCAGCATGTTGGGTAAGGAATTGCAGATACAATGACAATCTCAGGGTCGTGGCCACAAACACTGATAAAATTGCCTGTACTTACAGTTCATCAAGTCCAGCTACTGCTTCAGGGCTGGTATTTCATTAAAAGCTCTCAGAAGCCCCTCAAGTACTAGAATGCTGAACCTCCACTACCAGCAGCTTCGGATCAGCTCTGTCCGCTGAGACCTGGTCTCCAGGCATGAGTATTAAAGTGACCCTATGTGTTTGTCCGACCCCCGGTGGGACTGCAACGTTTAGTAAAAACTCTGGCACCTTCAATCTACCACCTGACTAACCACAGCCTGTCGCGGAGTAAGGCTTGAATGGCCTTAGGATACCAACAGTTTTGAGTTGCCTCAAAAAAAAAAACACACCATGTTCTTTTGTATTTTGTAACACAGTTCTCTAATTCATGGCATCATCCAAGGGAGACCATTCCTAAAACACTGTTAATGCATTCTAACTTAACAGAATTTGGTTAGAAGAGACAGTAAATGCAAAAGAATAGTGGACAAAATTATCCATTTCTCTAAGGTTCTAGAAATTACTCCTATTCCTATAGTCTTGCTCTTTCCAGAAAAGTGAAATGTGAAGGGAGATGGGGAAATTCCCAGCTGTAATGACAAAACCATGTGATCTTTCCCCAAGCCCTCCTCAAACACACAGACGTTTTCCACAAGACAGCAACATCAAAATGAGAGCCAGCACCGGTTTGGCTCAGTGGATAGAGCGTTGGTCTGTGGACTGAAGGGTCCCAGGTTCGATTCCGGTCAAGGGCATGTACCTTGGTTGCGGGCACATCCCCAGTGGGACATGTGCAGGAGGCACCTGACCGATGTTTCTCTCTCATCAATGTTTCTAATTCTCTATCCCTCTTCCTCTCTGAAAAAAATCAATAAAATATTTTTTAAAAGACCTGGGCCTTCACCATGACACTGTGGCCAGCGGGTTCACTTTCAGTTATTCCAAGCTTCATCCAAAAGCAGACTCAGCCATGGAAACCCTGCCTGTATGGTATAACTAGACACCTGTCCCCCTGCATATGTCATGACTATCTATCAATTAAATGCCAAAATCTAAAAAGCCAAGGGATTGCTCTTTAGTCAGCTGCCTGTAATAATAATAAAAACAGGCATTAATAGAGACAGGAAGAAAATATACCAACTACTTATAACTGAGGGGGAAGGGTGGTTTTCTTTTTTTTTAAGTCTTTTCTGTTTACAGTAGGTGCAGAAAATAGAGGTCTGTAGTATATGGTCTATAATATATATTTTAAGGGAGGGAGGTGAGGTGTGCTGCTTTTAAGGATTATTTCTTTTTCTAATCCAGAATTTTAGTTCCTGAAAGACTTTAGTCTCATGCACATTAATCTTTTCACAAATGAGGAGCCAAGATTTAGGCTGGGAAGGGCCTCTCCCAGCTGAGTCAGGACAAGACAACCACAGGAATGGGAAGGGCAGCGGGCTCCTTTAAAAGCACCCCCTTCTCAAGCACACCCAAAGCAGACTGTCAACTCCAGCCTGAAGTTTTCAGCCACTCTAACCGGCCACCTCCACCTGCAAATGCAGAATCAACCAGAAGACTGGCTTTGTGTTTAGAAATAATTGTTTACACTGGGAAAACAGAGGTGGAATCTGTGTCAGAAACGGTGAGATTTAACCAGCTTCTCTCCTGCTAAGCAAAGGTCCGTGAATAAAAGGAAGGGTATTATTGACAGCGGGGAGGGGAGGGGGCACTTGGGATAGTTCTGCCCAAAAGGACCTGAAAAGTCTCAACTTTACAAGACAAAGGGCACTTGGACAATTGTCTTAGTTAACCGCCATAACCTTGAAAGTGAGTGATGGGTGGAAAGGGGTTTGCGATGGCACCCGATTACCCGGCACCTGGCTCTAGGTTTTGACACTGTGCACGCCAGTCATCCATCAGCTCTCTCCGGCTACGATGCCGTGTAGTAGATATCACCGCCGCTTGTTAATTAAGAAAAGAAAAAAGGGGAAAAAAGCCAGACTCTTTAAATCAATGACGCCCCC